TTTCAGATCCACTTTTTGTTACAGACTTACTCAGAGTCTCTGGAGTCATGGACTTGGTTTAGCTCCGCTAACCGTGTGGGCCAGCAACAACAACANGTACCAATGTAAGTTTTTCTGTTGTACAGAAATGTGATACTTCCGTTGAAGAAAACGTTTCTAGCATAACAAAATCTAGTGAATGTGAAAGTGGCCCTCAAAGTGTTACTTCCCACCCATATGACATTGGACTTTTTTAGAAGATATTACATTATGTTCTTAAACTTAAAAAATCAAATCAAACTTTAACTAAATGTTGTCTAAATAAAAAGTCAAAATTGTCTAGCTGTCTAAATTAGGGAAATAATGGTGCTTTATTACAGACTCGAATTTCTTTTAGTAGTTTCAGAAAATTATGAACACTCCCCTTGAAAAAATTCTGCGTACGCCACTGGCTGGGAGGGCCGCCTTATAGTGCTTAAAGCAGACGGCCCACCCTTGTACTGAGCCAAATTACAATAGTATTGAAGACCCCAACAAAATTACAGAGAATACAGTATGTGTTACAATACATAATGAGTAGTTAGAAGATATAAACATCTCAAATAAAACAAGACAATTAAAGATATGAATACAATAATAAAAAATAAAAAATAAAAACTTTTTTTTTCCTTTTCTGTCTATTTTTGTTGATAAAAACGCTAAAAGCGAATATACAAGTGAGTAAAAACATCAAGATGAATTAAAATTAGTGTTGAGGTGATAGAACAGAAGACCAACGGAGTCCCCCAGGACGCTCAAGTTTGAAAAATATAAAAGGGGAATGACGCGTTAAAATAGAAGTGGATTGGCAGTTCAGGTATTGAGGGGAGGCATCAAGTCAACCTAAGTGTATAGGGTTCATCGGATCGTCCATTTTAATGGTATCTTCTAGTGTGCTTTTAATAATTTCTCTAATGATTTTGTTGCTGTTGTTTTGTTCTGCACCACTTTTCGATTGGTTCCCTGATGTTAATATGATTCCCTCGGAGTATCGAGAATTTAGGACATTCTGCAATTAGATGTTGAACCGTTTGGCTTTTGCCGCAGTATTTGCAGCTAGATGATTTCTGAAAAAATCTCGATTGGTGTTCTCCGAGCACTCCGTGAACACCAATCGAGATTTTTTTTTTATAAATTATAGTAATTTTGAACAATGGAAGTAATGAAGAATTTTCTTCTAATAATGTTCATAAAGTACATTAAGTAGTTCAAGTAACTAGGTTTGCAATGGGTTTTTTATTTCGGAATTCTATAGATTTTACAAGAGAATTTATTTTGAAAAAAAAGTGGATTACTCTTAACGTCGTTAGAAGTTAGATGAAATAATTTATGAATATTAACTAATCGTTCCTATTCAATGAAAAATCACTGTCTATCATGACATTTTTTTCAGTGATACTTGTTTTTTCCGTAATTTTTTAAGCTGCTTGAGTGAAAGCTACCCAAAAATCTTTTCTGTGTGTGAGAGAGAATGAATATAAGGCCGGCATATTGAAAAAAAGTAAAAGAAAACTACCGATCATTTCCTTTCTAATATTTTAATTATTTACGTTGCTACGGATTTATTTTCTTAGTTTAAAGAATATGACATTTCGCATTTATATTCCTTTTAATGAAAATTAGACTACTCTCAATTACAAACTATAAATTTCAGAAGATAAACAAGCATTTTAATATCTTAGTTTCTTATTCCTATATTGCTTAATAATAATTTTTGCTTGGAAAGCGATTCTGAAAATAAGTCATAGGTAAAATCGTTTCTAAAAATGAAAGCTTTTCTTCCGACTTTAAGTTGCTATTTATAAAATAAAAATAATAAGGCTTGTGTTACGTATTATTTATTATACGGATTATAACTTGTGCGGTATTTTAAAAGCTAATTTGAATATTTTTCACAGAAAATAAAGGATTTTTCCTTTCTTTAATGAAAATAGTTGACGAGACTTATGAAGGTTCGAATTTCACAAAAAAAAATCTTACTGTTTTTGATTTTCAAGTAACCTTTCCTAAAAGATTAGCAGGATAAAAAGGAGTTGCACTTTCTTTTTGCTCACTGTTTTCGTGTGTCACAAACTCTCAGGGAATAAGAATGCCTTTAAAAAAATTAATTTACATCTTCTTTTGTTTTCATTTCTTTTTAAATTTTAAATTTCGTCAAATGTTGTGTTTTTTAAGCATTCATTATTTATACACTTACTGCTTTTCTAAATGCTATAATAATAGTTAGCTTTAATTTCTATCGTTAATTAATTTTTAATGCTGAAAGATATTTATTTTATTGCAGAAAAAAAATTCCGCGCATGATAAAAGAACTACTTTAATTACTTATACTTAAATTTTACTCTTTTAATTACTTTCTTAATTACTTTTTTTTTAATTTTAAAGCAAAATGTTTGTAATTAATTTTGAATTGCTATGAAATTTTTATTAAATTTTATTGAATATTTTTAAAGTTATAGCAAAAATACGTAAGACACAAAAAAGTTTTTTATATAAGTATGTAAATAATGTTCATAATATAAAAATATAATGTCCTATATATAAGACATAAAAAATTTCCAGATCTCTATAAATATTTAAGTTAGGATTACGAAATTTTGTACAATTATCGCATGTAGTAACCTTAATAACTGTCACAAGTTACAAATCTATTGCTATGTTTTTTGTCATAGGTTGTTCCAAAACATTATTTTCTGTTTGTAATTTATTGTCGGTCACTCAAACCTTTAAAAACTTCATTGATATGTATGAGAAACTATATGATCTAAACATGCCTGAAGTTATAAACTGATCCATTTAGTATTTCTTAAGAAAGATGAAAAATTGTATTAGTATTGAAATGTTTCCATGATTTTGTCCACCCCCTGTATATGTCTTTTTAAGTAACTCTACTTTTTTTTATTTTTTAATGCAGAGTAATTTTCTTCAATCAATTTGATTGGTTCGAAAATAAATTTGTATGGTACATGAATAAAAAATAGATTTATATAAATTCTAAACTATCATTCTTCGTACGAATTTGGAATCAGCATTCATTCATCTTGATGCCCTGTTAGAAACTGCATAGCATTAAACAGTTGGCCAGAACTTAAGGGTTGCGTAGAATTCCGGAATAAGTTATTTTGTCTAGACAATGCGTCGTCTAAAATAAAATGTTTGATGTCAGTGTGATCGAAATACAGTTGAAAATCAAACATTTTTGTATTACATTAATAGGTTGCTGATCAAGAGTAAAATAACTGTAATTGATGTAAAAATTGACATTCTAAATCTTAGATACTTTTCTCTAATTGACTCCCAATCTGAAATACACGATCCTGACTTACCGGAAGGGCACTGATCAAGTAAATTTTTAATATTTCTATTCTTTCGCGTTTCAGATTTTTATTTTTTATTTCACTCGCTGAACTAATTCTAACATTTTCAGTTTTAATTCTCACAAACGGGCAGAAATAAGCCATCGTTAAGTTTAGACATACGAATTACATTCGAGGTGTGGCAGTCACGTAGCGAGAATTGTTGCAGCAACATATTATATATTATGGTAAAAAATTTTCAATTGTTTTCACCTTCAATATACACACCCCTTCTCAGCTCTCACTAAAACGCTCCTTGAGAATTTTTCATTGTTCGAAATGGTACTGAAAATTTACTTCTGCCAGTTTCTTTATGACGCGCCCTTCTGCTTGTTTTACTGCTTCAACAGACTGAAATCGCTTTCCTTTAATTCAAATTTGACCTTGAAAAAAAGATAAAGTCCTGTGGTGCAGTGTAAGGTGAATGGTCTAACTTTGGGATGTGGTGCTTCCTAGTAACGTTTTGAAAGACAATGCTTTCTGGGCGGGTACGTTTCCTAAATGGTAAACCCATGCCTTGTTTTTATCATTTTCCCAGGAAAACAAGACATTTGCACTTAAACGAATTTTTTTTACAGACACGAGAGGCTCACATTCGAAAGAGAAAGCTTCACATTATACAGTTATCGGTCATTTGCTGTTTCGCGCATGCTTAGTTCTTCCTTGGAATCATCCATATTTTCAGTTAAAGTCTTTATGGATAGAATAAGAGTCTAAGGGTTCCGCAATTTCTCCATACTTTTCCCTTCCCTGAGTCCATAGTTTTGTCAAATCACATTTTTTCCCTACGGCAGTGTGGTTCAGGAAGAATTTTGAATATGCTGGCATAGGGGAAAAGATTCATTTTCCGAAATCTAGGTAATGAAACACGTAGCCTTGAGACACCTATTCTATTCACAAAAAATAAATGTAAAAGCTACACTTCGTAGACATACGAAATCTGAAAATAATATATTTTATTTTATATTATTTTATAACCGTCGTTGAACAGCCGACCCATTTTTTTAGGTTCATGACTACTAATGTTCAAATACGTAGCCTTGTAATTTTGAACCCAATCCAGAAGACAAAGATACTCCAGGATCAAGCATAGGGAGAAATTTGCCTTAGTGGAGGACTTTTTGATGGTACTAACCCGCATTTGTGTTACATGGAGAGGAAAACCTCCCACGGTTAGCCTGATGGCAAGGGGACTCTAACCCATGATCGGTCTACCACTGAAGATATTTCACGTCAGCACTGTGGTCGGTGCAAGGCAAATGCAGAATTCTTATCGACTGGGATTCGAACCCGGTTCGCCTCATTGGAAGGCGATTGCTCTATCCCTTAAGCCATCGCGACTCAATATATGAATATGATTTTTTTCGCGATGCTGCTTCTTGTAGTTATATAAGTCAGGACTTGTGAGAAGGAAAGAAATCCAGGAATGGGGGTAGCATTGTTCAAGCCTTGAAATATTTTCTCGAAACAACTCTTGGGGCTACTTTTCTACGGGGATACGGCTGAGTTCAATCTCTGCCAACAGTGCAGGTCGTCCAACATTGTCTAATGAAAAAAAATTAGAAATCACATACTTTAAAGTTGTTCAATAATTTCAAAGTAAAAAAAAAGGCAAACCAGCATCGCTTCTGCTTCATCATGGTTTTTATTGAAACTCACATGTCACATGTTAAATCACCACATACTAATATCATACAAAATTCCTTTAATAATGTAGATATCACATCTCCTATTGAAGATATGCACTAGTCTTCGTTTTGGGAGCAACCTGTACCATAACCAACAGCGATATCGTCCTTATTTCTTGTCTGACTAAGCTTGCAGTAAAAATGGCTCTGAAAAAGATAGCTATAATTACTTTAAAACTTTTGTCATTCAATTATTAGTTGGAACAGATTGTTGGAAATGATGTTTTTTCACGCATTTCGATATTCATTTGTCAAAATTCATTGTTTACCTAAAATGAAACTTTTTTAAGATTTGTTCAACACTTATTTACTCGAAAACAATTATTAAATAGTAATTTTTTTTCGAAATTTATGAGGAAATACTAGAAATGGATAACATCCGGCATTGTACGCTTACTGAGTATCACAAGAGTAGCTATTGTCTCCAAAAACATTTAAGATGAGTATCCATGCGCCTTTCGTAAATTTCAGAGATGTTTCCCTAAATATGGCCTCTAGCCCATTGTGAAACTCTAGAACGACGTAAATAAAGTACCTACCTAAGTTCAAATCCAATAATTTTGTTCTTTAAACTCTCATCGAATTGAAAAACTGATCCTGGGAAAGCATGTATATATATATATATNATATATATATATATAATCTTTAAGCCACCTAATATTTCAGTCTATATCTTTATATAAAACGCAGAGTGGATGGGTGTGATTTTAAAGGCCTGTTTACACGGTCCAAGTTATTGAATCCAAGAACTTGGAGGAATTTCTCCCTCCAAGAAATTGGATGATTCGTCGATACTATCCAAGTTCTTAAATGTCTCTGAAGGGTCGGATTGAAAAATCTGTGCATTGTTCATTTTCAACATTATAAAATCATACTTACATGAATTCAAATTTACTAAATAAGTTAAAATAAAATCATAATAGCACAAATAGACCATGACATATTAATTTATTTGGATTAAAATATATGAAAATGGACAACAAAATGACATAATCTGATGCCTGCTGTTTGACGTCACAAAACTAAAGCAGCTAATTGGGTAAGAGAGAAAAGAACTTGGATGGAAAGTAGAACATGCTCTACTATCATCCAAGAACTTGGATGATCGTTTACATGGTTCAAGCTCCAAGCAAAACAAGTTTCCATCAATTTCAATAAATTTTTGCCCAAGAGAACTTAGATCATATAAACAAGCCTTAAACCTTTTTTCTCGATAGTGTTGATTATTGTTATGACGTTACTCTTTGTACATATTTTGTACTAAGTTGACAATTTGATTTGTGTTTTTTTCTTATAATTTCTTACAAAAATTTTTTTCGAAAAATTTTGAAGGTGCTTTATTTCTATGGAAAATAATATTTTATACATACAGCGTCTTCCTTCTGTTCACATTCATCAACGTCTTTGTAACTGACCTCTTTTTTCAAGCACTTGGTAACTACAGCAGTTACTTTTATACGATAGGATGCAGCTTTCTTCAAAAACAAAATAAACATTTACAAAATATAACAATGATATATCATTAGTAAAAAATCAATTATTGTTAGAGCCGCTACATATGGGAAATATTACATAATTTGATTAGTATAAATATTAATTTAATTTTAAAGGAATAGAAAATAATATTAATACGTCATTTTCAATTTTAAATCACAGCAATACACAGGAGCACAAAAGATGCAAAATCACACACTTGTTTCATGCATTTTTTTATCTTAATTAAAAGGCAAATTCTTTTAAAAATAAAAAGTATTTCTCATCTCTCAATGATCTACTGGTTTCTTTTTCTAAAAACGTAAGGCAAAAATAATTTCTTTTAAGAACAAAATATTATTTCAACTGCTAAACGTTTATTGAATTGCAGAATATATTACTCAAAACAATTAAAGGATATTGAGGTTGTGAGTTGATCTTGTAGCAGGATAATTATTTGAATGATTGATACATTATAGACAGATGCAGTAGACTAAATGAGATAAAAATGACATTTGTTTTTTCAGAAGAAAAAAAGTGTTTTATTGAGCATTTGGGTACAAAAGGGAAAAAAACTAAATTTCTGCAGATGAAATAAACAAACAAAAAAAGGTGTTTCCTTAAAAAAAATCTTTTTTAGTACTTGTTACGGTTTTCTTAGCAACGTTGAACACCTTTGAGGCATCGATTCAATGAGATTATTAATTAGGGGCTGATTAGGGGCTGATCCTCCCGAAAAGCTCTTCCCAGTTCTTAGAAAATTTGTGGGGGTGGTAGTCTTCCAGAAATTTGTCAGCCTAAAATGTCCAAAGCATGCTTGATTGGGTTCAAGTCCGTAGAACATGTTGACCAATTCATTCGTATGATTCCCAAAAAAAAATCATTCACCAAGTTAACACAATGGGGCCTGCAATTGTCGTCCATTGAAATGAAGTCATCTTCAATTTCTGCAGCGTAAGGGACTACAATAGGTCTCAGGATCTCATCCCTATATCGGTGGCCTGTCAGAGGTTTATTTCGAATGATAGGATGGAATGGTGAGCCCACCAATGGAGATGCCAGCAAAGACAATCACTCCCTCACGGCCAAATCTTGCACTTTCGTGCATGAATGTAGGATTTTTACTAGTGCCGCGTTCCCTCCAGATGAAAATACTCCTATTATCAGAATGAACAGAAAAGCGGAACTCATCGAAGAAAAGAATGTTGTGCCACTCACTTCTCCTCATGCTCATACGCTCTGTTGCCCACTCCCTGCGGGAGCGACGGTGCCTTGCTGTTGACGGGACACACACTCGGCGAGCATACAGACAGTTTGTGTCGAAACTGTGGTGCCAGTAGCCGAGCGAAGGCGTTGTTGAAGAAGAGTGGGATTCGTATTTCGCTGTCTCCGAGCTGTTAGAGTTAAACAACGGTCTTCATTGGGGGGCGTTACTGCATGTCTACGCCCTTGCCCTGATCCTCGGCCTGCATTTCCAGTCTCCAAAAAACGGTTCCAGATCATGGAAATCACACTTTGTGAAAATCCAATGGCTTCTGCCACTTTGGCTTCTGTTTGGTCACCCTCGAATCAGCTAACAACTCTCCACGGTTCAAAACTACAATACTACTCTACAAGATTTACAATATCCTTTAACTGCTTGGAGCAGTGTTTATATTTTAGCATGTTTCGTAAAATTTGTAGATATTTCCCTGCGTTTGTGTTACACATTTTTAAATAGATGGGGATAAATAATGATTTTTTTTAATGTACGTTAACCAAGTACATTAAATAAAAATATTTAATTCCACATAACGTTTTACATTTAATCGGATGGGTAGATTTTTCCATTTTTCAAATCCAAATCAACTATGAAGGGAAATGTTGCGTATCAAATAATCGCAAAAAAAATTTAAATATATTTTGGATCCCACCAAGGCCTTAAAATATCTCTAATTTCAAAAATTAGATGATTTTAAAATTATTTCTAATTTTTTTAATTTTCATACATCAATTTTTTCTGCCTGCAGTGTAAGACTCTATTTGTGAGCAAAAAAATAATTCACCGTGCAATATTTACCCTCCTCGCCAAGCATATTTATCCAACATGATAAAAATTAACAAAAAGAGCGTTTATTGCTTTCTTACGAAGCAAAAAATTCATATACAGGGTGTTCCAAAATTATCTTTACATCACCTAGCTTGAAATTGGTTACAGACTGGAATTGCTTAGGGCCACCAATGGTGCGCATGTTGAAGTGTACTAAACAAAGCTTTATTAGTTGCAGTAATACATGCAAAAGACAGAATATAAATATCTTGTTAATTTTCGAAGTTATGAATTTTTGAAAATGTAAAGAGAATTTTGGAACACCCTGTATTTTGCAATGTAGTTGCACAGTGAATCAAAAAAATGTAACTCTAACGTTTCACCTAGTAAGTGTAAATCTTTATAGTTTAAAGGATTGACCTCATATACGGTAATTAATTAGTTATAACTGTAGATTAAGCTACGAAATCAAATATTAAAAGCGTACTTTTTCTGAAAAAATACATGTTTATTTTACAGATCTGTATACAGCAGACTGAACAAAATGTGGGCAGAATGTTATTTTTTAGGTATTCATTTCTTATTATTTAATTTAATATTGTCCTTTTGAACTTCGTAGTAAAAAAATACAAATTTCGAGCTAAATAAATTATTTCACTTCTGAGTAATAAATTTAAAAAAAACCACGAATTAAAACTCTATTTTTTAAAAACAATTCGATTGATTTTATTCAAATTTTGTATAGGGTCATCAAATAAATGCATAACATATATATATATTTGTAACGTATTATCAGTTTTATATGTTATAAAAAAATTCAAAGTACAATACATTAAAATTCAAAGTTTTTGGACATTAATTGGATCGAAAAATAAATAATATAAATAATTATTAAAACTAATTTCTTGCATTCTTGTTTTTGAATAAATGAGTTTAATAATTTAGCGCAAAAGATTTGTGAAGTACTTAAATATTACCAGAGATATTTCAATATTTACTAGAAGGGAAATAAATATTAACGGTTTCAAATTTCATGATTAAAGAAGTTTATCATTTTCATGACAAAATTTCTCGGGGTAACATTTTCCTGATAGTGACTCTACCCTCTAAAATGTTAAAGGACAAGTATCCAAAGAGGTAGATCAAAGATAAACATTCGAGTAAAACATAAATAAAGGGCCAAAAAAGGGACCTGATGCAATTTGTAAAAACAAGAACCTTCTTCAGTATCAAAGGCAAAATGACAAGACTAGACAAACTGGTAGTAGACAAGCAAGTTAAAGGGAAAAAAGGCATTTAGAAAAGGTTTGTAAATTCTAAAGTATGCTTTTGTGTTGTATTTAGTAACTTAATTAGTAGTTACAACTAATTAATTTGAAAATTTTGTTAACCACTTAAGCCATAATGCTTGCAAATCCATTAGGATATAAGTTTTGCCAATCGATACTCTTTTTTGGCTCACTGTACGTATATCATAATATTATTTTCCTATTTGAAAAAAATCATAATAAGTGCATAAGTGTAAAATTATAAATGAAAAGTATTCAACTTTAAGAAATGAATATGACACAGAAAAAGAACTTTTAAAGTTCATACATATCTGTTGACTAAATTTAGAGTTTAATCTAATTATATACCAAGGAATTTAGTAAAATTCTTTAACTTACTCCGCATTCTTCTTCATTGGAGCACTTTGCTTCTTCAGCTTGGGTGATATTGGCAATTTTCCAGCGATAAGCACCATAAAAATGATCTGAGAAATGCTGAAATACCTCATTTGCGACCTTTTTTACAGTTTCGTCATCTACGTCAACTTCTTTATAATCGCCGCAACCGTCACAAGGATCAGAGTTTACAATAAGAGGACATAAAACACATATCAGCAAAATAGATTTCCACATGTTGAGTTTTATTGATTCTCAGATCAAACCTTTTGCGATGCTGGAAGAAAATATGTGTTACCAATGATTCTAAGTCCTTTTAGAAGAAAAATTAACTTATAGGAAAGTTTACACTTATTCACCTGTTTCTTTCTCATCCTTATCAGAACATTTCGATAATTTAAGTAACTTTGAATAGTGATTAGAGTACTGTAGGCAACGTTTTCTGGAGAATTTGCATCGCAAATTGCAATCAGTTGATCAAGTATGAGATCAGTTGAAATCATTCGCAGTTCCATATTTCAAAGCAACTTTGAAGCAGTAATATTTATTTTTAACTAGATAATAAAACAAAGATGGTACAAATTGACAGTTTTGTTTCATTTCATTTTATCCGTCGTTGAACAGTCGACCTTGGTTTGGGTTTACGACTATTAATGTTCATCTCCATAGGCTTGTAATTTTGAACCAATCCAGGAGACAAGGAGATCAGTACGCCACGAGGTATTGATTTGTTATGGGAACATGGAGGACTTTGCGACTCAACAGATTTAACGTGCATCAGTCACCATTACAGGCAGCAGAGATCGAACCCACAGACACTTGGACATGAGCCCAGTGCCCTACCAACCAGGCTATCCCGCCCTAAATTGACAGTTTGTGATAACTGGTGAGAAAAACATATAATTAAAACTGTTCGTATTCTTGAAAAAATTCTCGTCAAGGCTCGTGTGTTGTTGCTAAGCAACCCCTGTAATGTGACATAACTATGCGAAGCGTACTCATTGAAATAAATAAAAATTGAGTTTGCATCAAAAAAGTTAGGTAAATTTTAGATTCATTTTTCACTAATGACTTAAAACAATGTAAATTTTTAGTTTTACATTGTGTTAAGCACTTCCCGTCACCGGTGGCTGGCGTAGCTCGCATCAGAAATGTAAAGGCTTAAGAAATAAGAAAGACTTGAATAAGAAGGTACAAGAAAATATTTAAAAAAAAAAAAGTGTTTCGTGAACTACTTTTTAAAAAAACTGCTCAATATTGTGATCATTTGCTGTGCATTTTTTAGGATTTTTTAGGACATAAAAAGTCTTTCAGAAATCCAGGTCGGTTCATAAAATATATAATAGTATTGGATGAAGAGTCTATAATCATCAGACCAGCAGTACTTCACGATGGCTAATGGATTGATTCCAATAAATTTTTATGCTCTTTAGGCAAAATTGAAAAGCGCGGTTAGTTTTTCCAATACACAATTGTCTACATTCACATGAAATTTATATATGGCCCAGTTGTGATCTAATAAATAGTTTTAGGTGCAAAACTGCAATTTTTTTTTTGCATTTGTGAAGTTTTATAGGAAACTGTATTTTATTAGAATTTTTAATACCTGGCAACTAAATTTCCGAAAAAATGGAAACACAACACAATTTCATACCAAAATGTTACATCATGCGAAAATCATTCAGGTATAGCGCCTGAATGACTTACGCAAATCGCCTCAGTTATGAGAAGACAAAACTATTTCTTTTTCTTTTTGCAAAATCAGCAAAAATTGCGACTTAAAAAATTTCATTTCAACTTTTTTTTTAAAATGTATGAGTTTTTCCAATTTTTAGTATACTTTTCGGCACAGCTCCCCCCCCCCCCCCCAGTTTGCTTCTCATTCATAATTGTTTCTTTTTCTTAAAAGTCGCCGTTTTTCTAGAGAGATAAGTCATTTTGTTTATAAAATGCACAATAGTTATAATTTTAGGTAACGACTTTTCGTTACTCTGCTAATTGTAACGACAAAACTATTATCTGGATCTGAAAAATAAGCAATGGTATGTAAAAGAAAAAAAAACTTAAGATTTTAGATTGCGTGATAAAGAAGAATATCTGAATTAATTTTTCCCCTTAACAATATAAAACCTTTATAAGATTGTAACAATTCAAATTAAGAAACTATTTCTATCTCTAGTGAGATTTTCTACATTATTAAAAATTTCGATGCAAGTATTAAAATATAAATCCGGCAACTCTCATCTAATCTCTCTCCGTTATAATTTTTTGTTATTTTGACTATTAAATTTTTGGTCGTTACTTTTGACATAGAATCAAGCATGAGCTTATGAAATGAAGATCTCGAGGTTTTTATATTATGCTTGGCACGCCACGTTTGGTCGTAAAAATAATTTTGCCTCTAAAATAAAACTTTTAGATCTAATTTTTAATCACAGCATTATGTAAAACATGGTTTTAAGTTAATCATTTGTGTCAGATATATAAATATTGCAAGTCAAAATCATGTGTAGAAGATATGACATTGGAATAGCATTGGATCCGAAATTTTAGATGAAGTAATCAATAAAATGCTCCCATTGTGAGGAGGATATCATTAATAAATTAGTTGTTTTTGTGAAAGAAATGTTTAATGCAAAATTTGCTGTGAATAAAATATTTCTCTTTTGTTTAATAAAAGATTGCATTCACACACAAATTTTTTACGCATTTCTTAAAAAACACGATGATTTAATAAATAGTTGTGTATATATGGCTACTTTCAAAGGTTATTAAATGTTACCTTCATTGCTTGGTTGTTATTTTATTTGCTGTTGTCGCAAATCCTTTGTGGAATTTGATGTTGTATTTTGGAATTTGATATTTCGTTTTGTTCTTGTATTTTGTATTTAGATTCTTCAAGTATCTTGTTTGTGATATCCTGTTTTCGATTATCGCTTTTTCCCTCGAAAAATATTTATTGCTGTATTAAGAATTGTATGAGAGATGTATTAACCGAATCCCGGGTTTGCGACTATCAATGTTCAACTCAGTCACTTTGAAATTTTGAACCTAGCACTGAACACAAGGAAAATCCTGGATTATGCATTGGGGCAAATTATTTTGATGGATCTAACAAGAATTGGCACTGCATAGGAAGGGAAACCACGAAAACCACCCACGGCAAAGTTTTGACGGAAGATATGTTGCACAAGTGTTGGCTGAAGGTAAACACATGTTCAACATATCTTCCGTTTACTACCAATGATATTTTACGCTAGCACTTTCGTCGGTGTGAGCGAGAGTAGAATTCCAATCCAGCAGCTATAGCTGGTATTCGGATCTGTATAGCATCATTGGGAGGCTCAATTTCCTCAATTTCCCAAGTCACAGCTGCTCACAGACATGCTCGGAACATTTAAATGTTTTACCAGAAATACCATAGAATACCGATTAAGCGCCCCTTTAAAATGAAAAGAAAATCGCTAAAAGTTACCGAATGGCGCGGATAAATGTTACCAAATGTGAAGGGAACTTATATACTTACTGAAAGACCTAAGCTTTGCAAAGTTTAATTATAGAGATAAGTTTTTTAATTATGGAGAGAGAAAGTTAGCTTATTCTCCTTAATTCAACTACACATGCTTTTTATTATCCAAAATATGCTAAATCTAACCATTGTGTTGTGTGAAAGCGAAACAAATGTACGACATCGACGTCCATTATTCTTAGTCGACGTCCATTATCATCTTAATAAAATTTAACAGTCTTAATGTGTGTAACAGAATGTGTTATGTGTAAAGATTTTTTTAAGGTCGAGTGGATAATTGAAAAGATTATTCAGAAATAAGTTTATTACTAAGTAAAAATGAGATCTGTACTTCTCTCTTTCTGCAAATAAAAATATTTTTTATTATGATAATAGCATGTATTTTTTGCAGACTAATGAGTCCGGCAGGCCTTGTAAAAATATTGAGTTCTGGAATTAACACAAGAACAAGAAATCACTAAAAGATTCACGTCTAGGCATTTACTGAATAATAACATTCATAGAAATGAAGCAAGGGCATCACGACGAGCTTCATTTTCTATCTTTTTTTTACGAGCATTAGTTCCAATTTCCTTCCAGTTTTCTCGGGATTTTTCACCCGGTACTTTAAAACTATAATTTGCTTTCATTCAAAATCTTCTCACATAATATACATTTATTGATATACTTCACATTAAATACAAAGGTTTTTAGAACTTTGCAGTAGGTATTCATACAGAGTCTTCCGAAATCACCTCCTTTAGTACGCGTTTGTAAACTTTTTTGTCAAAAATTAAACAAAAAAGGCATAAACTAGAAGGACAAACTAATATGCAAGAGAGGAAAAAACAAGAACGCCATCAAAATCTGACAAATCCCTATTAAGGACGTTGAGATTGAAAATGTAAAGACCTGTTTAATTTGCCGAAAAAAACTCAAAAGTGCTTCAAGTAATTCCTTTTCCCTCAAATCTTAGATTCCTCTGGCATCAAACAAATTTCGAAATTTTTATAGTTTTCAATTTTTTTTTCGCTTAAATATTTTTGCAAATTCAAATGCGTATACTTTTTAGACTTCATTTATGACAAAGAAATTAGAACTATGAATTTTACGGCAAACTGTAAACTAAAAACAGTAATTACGGAACACCCTGAAAAATCCTTTGATGTCTTCTTTTACATGTCACAAAAAGTTTGAATGTAAATGTATTCGCCTTTATCATTCGCCTTTGTTTCAACTTTGCACTTCAAGTTATCCTGTAAAAAAAAGAAATAAATTAAAATTTAAATAAATCCTGATGATAAAAAATGCACTGTAAAATTTGAAAATTCACTGTAGAGCTTCAGAAATGCCCTTAAGATGAAAATAATGCTTTTTTGAATATTTTTAGTTGAAAATAACAAATCTATAATTAAGTTCCACTTATCACGCTCTATTTTCCCGAAAATGCACATTTGAGTCTGTTGAAGACAGTTTGTCTACGGTAAGAACTCCCCCTGCCCCAAAGTCTGAGGCCGTCTGCTGCTATGTAAACAAGAATAGCACATTTCATGAAAGATAGCTTCTCTTCCCTCTAGAACTAACACAATAGACTGAAAAAAAGATTCCCTTTTTTTCGCCGACTCATCTACTTGAAATAGTTTTTACCTTGTTACCATAGTCACCGGCACAGGTTCAGCCGAATAGCTAGGGGAGTTCTTACTTTAGACAAACTATATTTTGACAGCACAACACGCAAACAAATTAAATGGACCCTCAATGACAGTGAGACTATCGCCAACTTTAGTGACTTTAGTGACTTTGATGGCAAAACGCGAGTCTACCTTCCCGACACTTCAAGGATCAATATGCATTAGGAAGAGAAATGTCCCCAAATTCATTAAGAGCTTGGCTACTTTTCTCTTCAAAAACGATACTCGATAAACCATTGTAGTATTGAAATATGAATTAAACACCTTTTGTTTATGCAGGAACACAAAGTTTCTTCTAAATGACAGAAAAATTTAAATTTTTTTGCTTACTTTAAATGCTTTTTAATTTGTTTTTTACCTTAGAAGAAATTAATTGTTTTTATGAGAATGTTAAGTTTGAATATAGATTCATGAAGAAAAAAATGATAATTTTATCTAAAAGATCATGTGTAGAGTGAATCGAAAAAAATTATAAAAACTAAAGGTAAAAACAAGAAGAATAAATTCGTGAAATCGTTTATTTATTTTTTCTCGTAAAAAAATTCAGTTTCATTTAACTAAGAAATATTTAACGTTATCAGAAATGTAATTTCTGAAATATTTCTTGGCTACCCTACTTTTTGAAAAAGAAACTTTCTTTTCTTTCCAGAAAATCACGTTAATGGAGAACTGATTTCGCCAAACTTGCCTCCTGAGAAAAAAAAAACACTAACAAGGTATGATGGCGATATCTCGAACTAGATATCTCGAAATTGTGCAATTTCCACCAAAGAATCGTTCAATTTCGAGAAAATATTTGATATGTTGGATTCTAAGTATAACAGACAGCGAATGCTAAAAATATAAAATATTTTTAAATGTTAACTGCGTTTGCAACTTTTTTTTTAATTTGATGTAAAAAACAGTACAATGTTGTAAATGTAAAAAACAGTACAATGTTAAAAATGTTGTACACTAATGTAAAAAGCAGACTTAATTCGAGTACAACACTAGTTTTTTAAAAGCGTTTAATTTAATTGTTTCCTAAGAGCTGGAGTATAATTGTTGAGGTAGTTTTTAGAGCCGGTAGTTGAATTCTGATTACCAGTAAACGGGGGGGGGCAGTGAAACTCATTTTGCTAACAATTTTTTTACTCTATGATTCCGAAGTAATTCGAAACTTGAAACTTATCTTCAATAGTACAAGACTTGGTCTTTCCTCAGCAAACTCCAATAAACTGCCGCATATTTTAAATGCACCTTCATGCATTGTCCAAAGGATTCTGTAAATCGCAATCCTGTTTCTTTTTCATATTCCAGCCTGCTAACTGTTTTCAACCGAGTCTTCAGGATGCATAAAAAAAAATATTCAATCCAAGGCAAACTGTCCCAAAGAAAAAGACTGTTAAAAAATTTCGTACTACTCAAGATTAACTTTCAACCTTCGGATAGGTTTGAAATAATTATTTGGCTAATTGTTTTTCTGCAATCCAAATTATATCATAAAAGTATTTGAGAAGCTATTGACCCCCTAACGATCGTTTACTTTTCAAGAAAGCGGTCATAAAAGTGCCTATTTTGCTAAATACACGCATTTGATTAGTGCTGACATCTAGTTTAAAATAAACTAACTATCTACAATTACCTTAAAAATATCCTGTTACTGCCATCTGGTGTATAAAATTAGAAATAAAATGTTTTCTGGGAAAAAGAAATGAATTATTTTATTCTTATTGGCGCGTTACCACTGAACCCTCCAGCCCGGAAATTTCACAGGAGCGAGAAATAGAGGGTGAAACCTCAAACCGTCATTTTCACTGGAGCGAGAAGGAAGGGGTTAAGGAACAATTTAAATATTTATACCCCGGTATTTGAGTTTAGAGTATTACGCTAGAACAACTTACCTTCATACTGCGTAAAGGGCATTGTTGGACATTTTTGTAATCATATTCCTCTTTCAGGCATGTTGTAAGACCGACCACGACATTCATTTTATAGGCTGCTTTTTTCTTGAAAAAGAAAATAGGAAGAATATTTAGTTACGTTAATCTTGTGCTCAATTTACTATTGAAAAATAATTAACAATAAGAAAATATTAGACATAGTGAAATTTTTACTTTTAATTACAGAATTGTAAGTATCGAAAAAGTTTTAAAAAAATACTATACAGTTGCGCATTTTACCTCTGATCATTATAAACCTCCGTAATAGAACATAATTCACACTGTCACTTATTTTTTAATTCTTAACGTTTTCCACAAAAAGTACAGAAATGTCCATATTGATTTTAATTAAAAGTTTCAGGAGAGCTAATTTAGAAAAGCTGTCAAAAACATGAAGTGCCAATCACTTTAAATTTTTATTTGAAAATCTTTCTAGTAGAGTAGGTTAAAAGCAAATAAATTTTTGACTTTAGGAACGCTTCAGTGTGGATTGTCTATTACAATATGAATAAAAATGGCATAAAATATTTTAAAATCAGCTAATATCTTCCATTCGCGTGTCGTACTTGAAATTAATGAAAATTGGAAGGAAAAAAAATTCTTTTTTTAAAAAAATTAGGCTGGTTAAATTTTATGAAATAAATACTCGTTTTCTATTTTTTTTTATTTGATGTTTTGAACATCCCTAATAAATCAAATTCTGACTAATATTTTTTTTTACTATCACGCAACGTTTTAAAAAAAACATAAGTTTTCAAAACAAACTAGTTCCGCAGTGGATCGATTGTTAGGACACCATTCCCAGTAGAAAAGCGAAGTCAAGCATCACTGGCTGCGGTCAGTGTGAGGGCGGGTGACCACTTGGATCAGTCTATGAAGAGACTGAGTGTGTGTGGCAATAGTCCTCGTTAAACTGTTCTATCGTAAAATGCTCGATTTCATGCGCAGGTCGTCAGGCTACCGAGACGGGGGATGCCATCCCCTCTGCAGAGGATCAAGAAGATTGTGATAGCATGTTTTCGGACCGTCGCCAATAGCCCATTGTGCAACTCTAATGTGACGTAAATAAACTACAACAAAACAAAACAAAATGCACAACGTGACGATGGTCGAGTTCCACCTAAACTCTACACGACCAAAAATTTTATTTTTGATGTAGTTTTGAAATTATATTTTCAGTTAGTCATAAAAAATTAGGATTAACAAAGGATTAAGATCCTTGGGGTTAGGAACAAAGAATTAAGATCCTTTGGCTTATTGTATTGTTACCGCATAAAGATTGCCATTGATGATTACAAAATGTGAGGGGACAAAAGTCTCCTCTACTTCCCCATGTTTCCGCGGTTCCTGGTAGGCTGTAAATGAAACTCGATGCGCAACCATCATCACATGGTGAGTCCTGGATTCTTCAAATCTAACATCATAAACGAAGAATTTAATTTTACAAAAAGTTGGTAAACTTAAGTTTATTTTTAAAGCATTTCACGAGTGTAAAAAATAAAATTATTGAATAGAATTGAAATTATTTAGTATATTTGAAATTATCAGACAAGCATACAAAACTAAAGTATATTTATTTCAAAAGTTTCAGACAACTTTAAAAAAATTTAAAAAGACGAGATTTTTTCCAAGATTTCATTATTTATTACGCGACAAGTGCGATGCGCAAATAGAAGACATCACGCAGCTTTTAATCTTATAACATTAGGCAACTTTTACATACTAAAGCATATCAAAATTCAGAAAGAAAAAAAAATTTTCGACACACTTTACGTTCGAGTTTATATTAATGATATGTGAATCCATCTGTAGACTTCATTCTCCTCATTTTGGGATTTTCCTAATTCTATTAAAAACTTTACATTTTGTTTTTTTTTTCACCCTGAAGTTAGTCTCTCGCCACGCCACGTGAAAGCTATTGGTCTAAAATTTGCTTAAAAATGTCTGCTACACTTTTGCCTCAGATTTCCGGCCTTTGATTTAAATTTTTCTTGACGCATTTATCACTAAATTCATATATTTTGAACGATAATGGGATGTTTAGAATACTTTGATTTAAATCTGTGGTTTTAATCATTGTTTTTCTGTAATAGATCAGGTACACAGCCAAACACTCATCTCTAATATCATAGCTGTTTTATGGTAGAAAGCAATTTTTTGGCATTTATGCATCAAAAAAATCATTTGGATTTTTTTTTGTTACTTATGCACCAAAAACATACACCCTTGAAGGGTAGATAAAGATTTCGTTTTGGTATTCAAACACCGCAAACTCGTAAAATATATCAATACAATAGTGCGAGAAGCACACACAAAAAAAATTTTCAAACAAAATATTACGCATTAAGTAATAATATACATTGATATATTTTGCTTTGGCTATATTGATACAATATTAGAAAGCACTCATTTTTGTGGATATAATCGTGTGAGCTGATGAGGAGATTATATCTTTTTTTTCCCGGATTTTTATTGAAAATATTTTTATCAATATTCTTTAATTATGTTGTTTTATTTTATTTTAGTGTTATAATTTTCTTCTTTTCTTTTCATTATTCTATAACTTTTTTCCATGTTTTCTCTTCATTTTGAACTTATTTTATGAGTTCTGTATACTTGCAGCTTATGCACAGTAAATAAAACTTATTAATTTTCTACATTTTTCCCTTTTTCCTCTTTATCCTTTTTTGAATTTAAATTATTGTGCTCTAGCTATATATATATATA